CTCAGGATGAAGGGGCTCCAGCAGGAGAAAACCTAGCTGACCCGCGGAAACTCACCCCCTTTCCCCAATTCTCCCCAGTCCCCAAACTCCTACCAGTAAGTACAAGAACTCTGGCAATAAAAAGGGGGTGGGGGGAAAAAAGAGGGGGTGTCAGAATTCCACAGCAGAAGGGAAACCTGGGAGCACAGTGGACTTGCTCTTCCCTAGTCCCAAGGAAGCAGGGTCCTGAGCATCCCTTTCCCAGGCCCCAGGCCCTCTCCTTGACCTTTCTCTCCCCTCTTAGGGAAACTTCCTTTTTTGTTGGACTAGGGGGCAGACACACAAAACAGGGTGGCCTTTGGTTTAGTAACCCAGGAAGGGTAAGAGAAGGGGGGTTAGGGGCTTCCCTGGTGGCGCAGTGGTTGAGAGTCCGCCCGTTTGTGCTCCGATCTGGGAGGATCCCACGTGCCGTGGAGCGGCTGGGCCCGTGGGCCATGGCCGCTGGGCCTGCGCGTCCGGAGCCTGTGGTCCGCAGCGGGAGAGGCCACAGCGGTGAGAGGCCCGCGTACCACCAAAAATAAAAGAGAAGGGGGGATTAGGTCCTCTCCCCTGAGGCATCCTCTCAGGACCCTGCCTGTCACCTTACTACCCGGGCCCACCTCTCACCTGCTCTCTGCTCCCAAGCGGGAGGGAGAGGTCAGTCGTTTCTAACACTACCCCACAGCTGGCCCTGGTCAGGGACCTCACCCACGGGCACTTTCTAAGTCTTGCCTCTGAGGAGGTCGGGTGCCAGCTCTCCCTCCAGGCCCCCGGTACTTCCTGGGAAGGGGCTCATTCTACGGAAAGAAGAGGGGAGTTTGGAGGGTGCAGGACTAGAGATGAAGGAGCAGAATCTGGGGCAGGAGGGTGGGAGTCCCAAAGACTGAAGAAATGGGCCCCAGACCTGAAGACGAAAGGCGTGTGTGAGGTGTCTGGGCTAATTCACCTCTGAAGCCTCCCCTTTCCAGCCCACCCCCCTAGAGGAGAGCCGGATGGGGGAGAACAAAAATCTCTTCCATTCTTCTTTCCCCAGCTCCCTGACACTCCCCTCGCTCCAGCTCTATGGAGGGGGCTGAGTTAAAAGCCCATGAATGTGCAGAGCCCCCAAGCCATTTTGAATCTCCTCACAGGATGTGAACAGGGTGGGATTTGGCCCCAGTTGCCAAGGCAACTGCGGTGGGAGTTCCCAGACGCTAGGCAACCCTCCTGTGACCCCCGCTGACCTGTCACCCCCGCAACCAGAGGACAATAGGAGTGCAGGCTCCGGAGGCCCAGGACGCCTTTCAGCTCAGCCGCAGAGCCAGCAGCCCTGCCCGCCCCCACTGTCTGGCCCAGTCCTCCTGGCCCCAAGTCCAGCGAGCATCCAGCCTGGTCCCCAAAACCTCCCCAGGCCCTCCACCTCACCTCCCCAGAGCTGGCACACACTTCTCTCAGCCCTGGCTGCCCCCCATCAGGGATATTTGTGGAGTCTATGGGGAAAGCCCTACACACCGGGAACATTTTCATACAGGTGAAATTAGATTAGGAGAAAATGCAGGGGCGACCTTCAAAGAAAAAAGCCATCCTAGAAGGGAAATATGCGGCCGGGGTCCACTGAGGAAGGAGACTTTATCTTGGTGAAGGGGGGAGTTGACGGGCAGCTGGCACGCCTGTTCGGTTCAAGGCATTCTTTAACAGCAGCTGGGGATCACCAACTCCAGCGGGCCAGCAGGGTGCCAGGTGCAAAATAAGGTTCGATGCGTGTTTGCTGAGTGAATGCACGCTCCAGGGCCCACAGCGCTCTCCTCTCCACGCTTCCTTCTCAGGGGTGAGTCTCCAGGAGACTGGAGACCAGATGAAAGCCCCAAGGACAGAGTGGAGGCGGTGCGGCTCTGTCACTCACCAAAAAGAGGGCTGGGAGGAGGGAGCGGGAAGCTGGGGCCTTGACTGCTGAAACGGGGCAGCCAGAGGGGGACCCTCTCTCCAGTCAGACAGAGCCTGGCAGCTGAGCCCTGTCTCCCCTACCCCGCCTCTGTTTAAACAAGCTCCCGGCCTGCTGTTGCATGGAAACAGGCGCCTGCTCTTGTTCCAAAGTGACGTGGCTGCCCTCTTCAGCACTGTTTGTTTCAGCCTAAAGTCCTGTCACCAGCCTGACTTCTGACTCGCCCTGTTTATCTCTCTCTCTCCTTTGTCAACTCATTACTCCCAAAGGCCAAGACTGCATTTCCAGGGCTTGTTTATCCAGAGCAGAGGGGCAGGGACCAACAGACCGACCGACAGACAGACAAAGAGGAGCCACGGAGGCACGAGGGGGAGGGACCGGGGCACTGCCCGAAGACCCACTCACACCCTCTGCCTCTGGAGTGGCCACTTAGAGCCGGCGGCCACTGCTGCTTTTGTTGGTTTGTTTTAAGAGCGCTTTTAGATTAGGAGTGGAGTGCTCTCATTCACTCACCAGCAGTGGTTAATTTAGCACCTACTAGGCGCCAGGCCTTGCTGCCTCCATTTCCCTCAGGGGACTGTGAGTGTGGTGGGATCTGAGCCCTGCACTAGGAACCGGGAGACCTGAGATCTAGCCTTTCCCGTGTCACCTGGACAAGTCAGTGCTACCTCTGGCTGCCCCCTCATTGTGATATGGGAATAATACCACCCACCTCCCCAGGATGGTGAAGCAATTAAAGACCCAAAGCACCAAACAGAGGCAAGGTGTTTGTTTGTCCTCAAAGGACTTCCTGGTGGGGGTCGAGGAGGAGGGGGCACTCACTGGGCCACGGCCCTCTTTCCTACATTCGCTCTACCCCGCAAACAGTCAGAGACACTTGTTGGGGGGGGACCAGAAAGTGTTGCCCTCAAGCTCCCCCCAAAGTCTCGCTCATATATTGGAGGAAGAAGGACAGCCCACAGACTGTTTCCTTTTAATTGAAAATTTTGTCATTTTAATTTTGCAGAGGGTTCTTTTCATAGTTTGGAGCCAAGAAAACCTTTTTTAAGTCTCAAATATTTTCCTTGGCCCTAGGCACTACGCCCATAGTGAGCCCAAATGGATAAAACAGCCCTCCCTCCGCCCGCCTCCAAATCTCCACCCCAGTTTATTTGTGAAACAGATATAGGATTTTCCAGGACTTTGGGATATTCACCAAAACAAACAGGGATAACTGGAACGTGGAATATAGATGGTAGAACATGGCCTGAGCGCAACGCAGAACAGAGAAACCTGATCGGTACAGACAGTTCTGTCCCTCCCCACCCCACACCTCTCCCCACTTATCCTGATATCTGTGTTCAGTCTTCTCTTTAAATAATTTTTTTAAAGAAACTTTCCAGTTTCAGTATTTCCCCCCAGCCCTCCCCCGACATTCAAAATTTTTCACAGCTCTGTCTGCACAGAGGTGCAGGAGGGGAAGAGTTTTCACCCATACAAAATGGGTGGCCTTGGAGATTTCTGGTGGGGTGTGTTCTGATATTATTTTGATGAAGGGCAGGGTTCTGCCCTTTGACCTTCTGTCCCCCGTAGGTGGTACAGATTCTGTGGGTCTCTTCCCCAGAGAACCTGTTTAGGAGGGCTTGGGAGATACCAGCAAAGTCCCAAGGACCATCTCCCTGGAGAAAGGAGACGGGCCCTTACTGCTCAAGTTTCCACTGTTTGCAAGAGGAAGGAATTTTTTAAAGTCCTCAATTCTGTTCATGTCCGTACTGACCAGGGATTTTACACCCAAACTGCATCTGATCCTAACAACCCCTGTACTTTAGGTGCCAAGAGGTAAGGGAAGCCCAGGACTGGCCAAGGTTGACAGCTGGGAAGCGGCAGGCTGGGACTTAACCTGGGTTTGTTCAGTTCCTGCATCAGTGCTGGCTGACCAGCTCACTGCAGAGCGCGGGGCCGGGCTTCTGACGGTGCTGCTTCCAGTCTGACCTCTAGCTTCAAGAAGTGTGGTGGTAAAGGGCCCCTTAGGGGCTATGGAGTGGGGGGAGGAGCCCCAGGGCAAACCTGGGAGACAGCATGAGGGCGATGTGGGTACACACATCTGTGTGCACGAGGCAGGGGTGGGGTACGGGCAGGGAGGAACATGCAATACCTGAATTTTCCACATTCCCAGCAGAGCCCCCAAGGGGCAACGCCACCAGCAGTGATTCGAGGAGCAAAGTCAAATATGAGAAGGAGCATCCCAAGGCCAGGGCTGGCTGGGCCGGTTCTCCTGAACTTGTCAAGCACTATCCTCCCTTTTTCCCCCGGGGTGGGGCCGGGACCTGGGGCCCCTGCTCTGTCATAAGCCAGCTAGGTTTCCCCACCCCCTAAGGCCTCTCGATCCTCAGAGAGGCTGGTCTTGGACTCCTGACCTCTGCAGTTTAGGGTGGGAATGATGAAGGGGAAGAGGGCGGGGGACGCAGACAGGGCTTCCAGTCTGAGCACTAAAAATGGAGGCCTGCCTCTGCCTACTGCTCGGGACCTTTTCCCAGCTGCCTTGACCCTTGGTGCCTGGAAGTTTAATCTCACAGCTAGCTTGCATCAGGAGCCCAGGCAGCGGTGGAGGTGGGGAACATTTTATAATACAAATAAAATGAAGATACCACTGGGCACAGCCCCCCTCCCCCAAAGAGCACACACCTAGAGCAGGGTCTCCCTACCCCAACCCTGTTTGTTAACTTAGCAGGAGTGCGAGAGGAGAGCCCAGGCGCCCACCCACCCAAGACGCACACCCTCAAGCCTGCTGCCCAGGCGTCTGTCTGCCCTTGTGGGCATTTCCGAGGCTGTTCTAAGGTCTATGATCTCAGGGCGCCCAGCCCCACTCCTCTTTCTGGGAGGGCTGCTCTCCCCCTGCCTTAGTGACCACTCGAATGGCAGCGCACACAGGGGGTCCCTGCAGGCTGGACCTTCTCAAGAATGTTAAAGTGAGGCTGCGTGGCAGGGAGCGGTGGCCCCCAGGTGGCCAGGGTGTAGTGGGAAGAGGCCTGGCGCCCCTCTCCCCTCTCCTGGGTTGCTCTGGAGAGGCACCAGCTCCTACCTGTTGCTGTTGGAAGTGGAGCAGCTCCGCAGGGCTCATCTCGCCGTTGCTGTCTGGGCCCGCGGCCGCATCCCTGCCTGCGCTGCCTCCGGCGGGGG